CAATCAGAGCGAGGCGGGGGCTTTCACGCGCCACGCATTCAGCCCTCTGTGACAGAGTCGCCTTTGTGTGCGTCTATCCGCCGCTGTCACACACTTTAATTCGAGTCTCTTTCTCTTGCATTGAAAACTCTCCACAATGACATTCAATAAGGGCCGACGAGTGAAAACCTGGTTATTTTTATATATTCTTTCCCGAACTCGGCTGGGGCCGCGCACAGGAATTAATCACTGTTTTTTAACCGCATTGCCTTCAGGTTGTGACTTACCCTGGCCTCAAAATGAACAATAACATTCACACGTTTTAAATTAAACACTTCTAGTTTTTTGCATATAGGCTAGTCCTAATTTTATAGTCCTGACTTTAGAAGCAATCATTATAAATATATACGCTCTTTTTACTATGCCTATGTACTAAAAAATGATATGTCCTAGAGGCCTATATATATGATGTGTTGACAAACATTACGACATACTTGCAAGTTCAACATTGAAGCCTTATCGATGCCAATTAAGGAAGGTCCTCTCCAGCATAAATCAGACTGAAATGCAACCTTTTTTTCTCGTATTACGAGACTATAGGCTATTGCGTCTCCTGCATCTTTTATGTGGCATGCAAATATGCATATGCTTGGATTCCAGGAAATATAAACATGTATAGCCTATTCAAAGTTAACATTGCAGAGAAAATACCACTCCACTCCCCAACTTTCACTCATGGATTGATCGAGTTAAACATTCTTAGTTGTTAATTTATGAGGAAAGTGTAGGATAAGTTCTGATGTTCCATAAATACAGGTCTCTTCTAAAAAAGAGACCTTGGTCTCAGCATGACTCCCTGTCAAAATAAAGGGTAAAAATGTGTAGATTTTCGGAAAACAGAAAAAACTATAGAATGGACTAACCCAGTATATTGCCAAAACGTTTATTTCTCAAATTATATAGGCCTATATTAAAACATCATATAATAAATAAGAGCGAAGCTAAAAGGGAGAAGGAGTTATGCCGCCTCTTGCGGCGTGGGTGGGGCTGACAAGAATAGACTACATTATGCAGTTCATTTAGTTAACAAGTGAAATAATGGGGAAGCGTGCAGTGTGAATGCCAAGAGAAAAGGCACAAACCCCTATTGAGAGCTCTTAGATGCTCACGCCGTAACCGTCACATGGCCCATACCGGGACTACAACTATTTAAAGAGCAACCGTGTCCTTTCAGCACCACTCCGCTGTCCATCCGCCAAGCAAGCAGTTCAGAACGAGACGAGGCGCTGACTGAAAAAGTTTACCAAGAAGTACTGAGCAGCACGTTTGCAAAGATGCCGAGGTCCTTTCTTGTGGATTCCTTGATTTTGAGGGAGGCAAATGATAAAGGGAGTGAAAACAATCCACCTTTATTTCCTTATGCTATGCACCCGTCCCACCCACTCCATGGGTTGTCCGCGGGCTCTTGCCACTCACGGAAGGCTGGCTTGCTGTGCTTCTGTCCACTATGCGTATCCCAGCTACACCCGTCTCCACCGACCTTGCCACTCCTCAAGGCATCCTTCCCTACCTTCGGCTCCCAGTACTGCCATTCCGCACTATCGAGGCAACACACGTCCTCCACTGGTGTCAACCTCAACCACGGTCCGGGGATATATCAAGCAACCTATTCGGTTCCAGACCCACGTCAGTTCCACTGCATCTCCATTGGTGAGTAAAACTTATTGAATGCGCAACTGATACCTTTGCACAGAATGAGCTGGTGTTTGGATAACTTACCTAAATGTGTATTATTTTGTGTTTTTACAGAAAACAACAACAGCCAACTTCAGAGCAGCAAGCGCATGCGCACAGCTTTCACCAGCACACAACTTTTGGAGTTGGAGAGAGAGTTCACTTCCAACATGTACCTCTCCAGACTTCGGCGCATTGAGATCGCCACGTATCTAAACCTGTCAGAGAAGCAGGTCAAGATCTGGTTCCAGAACCGCAGAGTCAAACACAAGAAGGAGGGGAAGAGCGGCGCGCACAGAACCGGCTCCCACAGTTGCAAGTGCTCGTCCATGTCATCTGCACGGTGCTCGGAGGAGGAAGACGATATGCCCATGTCTCCCTCCTCATCAGGGAAAGAGGATGATGGAGAGCTGTCGGTCTCCCCCTGAACTTCCTCTGATCCTCAACAGAGACAATTGGTCCTCATAGCACCTGTAGAATTCTGAATGCAACCAAAAAGTCGACTGTTCTTATCGTGTTCAGTCACCTGTATATAGGAAGAGAACAAAATATATTAAAAGGGAATTCCCCTGGAATGTTGTATAATTGTATACATGTTGTACGTTTTGTATGTATTTTTTTTCTTCTAAAAACGGTCTATTTGCTGTTGCCAATCCAAATGGATGCTATTACAACCAGACAGTTGGATATTTGTATTATGATATAGGCCTACTCAAATGAATAGCAACATTTGTTAGTATTATTTTTGGGAAACAATAGCTGTATTTTGTATAATGGTGAACACTGGCTTAAGCACATCTATTTGGATGGAAATGTGACGGAGATCTGGAATGTGTGCGGGACAGAACATTTTTTTTCCTCACAATGTCACTGAGATCAAATTGTTACTATATCTTCAGTGTATTTGAAAATATGTATTTATTTAAAAATGTACATACTTAAATAAAGAATATTTCTTAGTGTTATACGCATGGCTCTGTGTCAAATGGGTTACACTGGCGCACCACTGGGAGCGCACACACAGAGGCGGTGCGCACTGAGTTCATGCGTATTATCAACGGTAGTCTACAACAAGGTGGGGAAACTTTATCAGGAAATTAGCTTGAGACATAATGAAAAGGACAAACAAAAAAAACGACGATACCAACTACTGTATAGTTGGCATGGCATGGCATTTGGGTCAGTTTATTGGTAAAACTGTGCCATCCTATGAATGCGTGTTTTGTTTGTTGCAACATTGTCCATTTCACATGTATTTGTGTGTGCATGTTCACATACCATATTCATTAAGTCTATACATTATTCTATACATGAATTTATTAATCCAAATGAGATGTTGGTTTATATCAGATAGCACATGTGCATCATTTACGCGCATGGTCTGTTTACTTTAAAGAGTGGATAAAAGAGAAAGAGCTCACTGCTAAGACGTTTTTCTGTCCAGGGAAAAAGTCTATGTACTTTTTAGAGCCATTTTCGTAGGCAATACTGAGTATTACGCACAAATACACTTGGTAATGCATGCTTCCCCTTGCCAAATTAAAATGGTGCAGCTCTACATTTTAGATGCCCGTTTGAATCCAGCTATTGTGCAGATGCCTGCGCGTAAAGAGTGAAAGTGTTCCAAAATATTTCCTGGTTTCCCTCTCAAAACAAGTGCTATGGGTACGTCAAGAAGTCTTAACAGACAGACGTTCATGTGGGTCCTCTCATGCTTTCCCTGGGGAGAGCGCTCAATGCCCGAGTTAACATGCAGGGGCCAGCGGATCTCCACACATCGGCTCTCGCTCTTGTCATATCAGAAATCCGCTTCATCCCAATTTCCTGATCCGTCTCGTGCGAGGGAGTTAACAACCACTACGGGGTGTATTAACGAGTGAATGAAAGTGAGCAAATGAATACATTCATCACTGTGTATGCTTCATTTAAATAAATATGCAAAGATAAAGGCTCATATGCTATCCATATCATTCCTGTTGATCTGTAATTATGTTGGTAAGGTCGTTGGTCTCCAAGGTTGTTTTTATTTCTGATAACCGAATTCTCAAGACAACTAGGGTATAATTATGCCTATGTGTTAGGCTACATGTCATTCCGGAAATTTAGGGACAGACAACCCAAATCATCGAAGTTCTTTTGGATAGGCTATTCTATTACACTAGTATCTGTCAAAAAGCAATCATGATGGAAAAATTACTTAATATAGAGAGAATGCATATCAAGTGACTGCATATAACAATATTTCTGAAAGGCGCGTGGTTTTTGAGACTATGGGGTGACAACGGGACCAAGACCGTAAATAAGCCTTCCATACTCGCGCCACATGCTGTTTTCCTTGTTCATTACTGGCTTCTCAAAACTACATTACATTTATTGAAATAGGATTTAAACGCTATTTACTTCTCCGAAAACGTATCATCAGCCCTCGGTGACAACAAAGACACTTCTAGGACTGCACATTCACTAAAATATTCACGTTATTGTGCCTTTGGGCGAGAAGCTGCACTTGTAAAATTTATTTTAATTGTTCACTTAAACATTTTAACAAAACTCCAATATTAGCATTTGTTAAGATTAGGCAATTTTGTTAATTGCACCATAGAGCCCCATTTTGCTCACTGCGTCCAAGCGCCCTTTATCCATTCAATAGCCGGGGGGTATGCGCCCTGGACGAGCTTATAAACCCGGTGCTCCAAATGCTCTATTTATTTATTCTTAATTTTGAGCCGATCAATTCATTGAAGCAAAAAAGGCTACAGTGTCTTTTTTAGAGAAGAAAAGCGAATTGTTGACGTGACCTTGACGGGGCTGCTGAGAGGGCTACCCGACGCTCGAGGACCGCTTGAGTCAACAGGCGCCCATCTAGCAGACTCGCCCTTGTCTTTATTCCAACTAATTTTTCATTTACGGCTTTTCTTAGACATGTCT